TTATTTTAAATTTTTTTTTTAGAATTATAAAAAATTTTAAATAAAATAATTTATTTTAGGTTTAATGATATGGTATCAAAAATTTGAATATGCAATTGGTCATTGGCTACAGAAAGCAACTGAACATATGATTGGTTGTGTTCTTTGCTCACCTGGATGCTTCTCATTATTTCGTTCATTAGCACTTATGGATGATAATGTTACCAGACGATATGCATCTAAGGTTATATTATTTATTAAATTTTTTAATTAATTTTATAATGAGATATTAATTAATTATATTAGTAATAAATTCATTTGTTTTCGTTTTTTTTTTAAAAGTAATAAATTCATTTGTTTTCGTTTTTTTTTAAAATATTTATTTTTGTATTATTTTATAAATTTTAATTATAATAACTTATAAAAATTTATTATTTTAGGCTGAAAATCCAGTTGATTTTATTCAATATGATCAGGGTGAAGATCGTTGGCTATGTACATTACTTTTACAACGAGGTTATCGGTAAATTTTGCACTATTTATGATTAATTTATAATTTATCACACTTCTTATCATCATAGTTAATTGATAAGGGATGATAAAAATTTCTAATTTAATTTAACATTTTCATATGTTTTTATCCATTTTTCTTTTTCTTTTTCTTTTTTTTTTTTTTGTTATTTTTAATAAGCTTATATGGAATTATTTTAACAATTTATTTTCTAATCTTTTTAAAATAATTAATTATTAAATTAAAAATTTGCATATAAATTTTGAAAAGAAATGGAAAAAAAAAGTTTTATTTGAAAGATTCTTTTCAACAGAGTTGAATATTGTGCAGCATCAGATGCTTTAACTTATGCACCAGAAGGTTTTAATGAATTTTTCAATCAACGTCGTCGTTGGATACCATCTACATTAGCAAATATTATTGATCTGCTACAAGATTATAAAAATGTTATCAATATGAATGAATCAATTTCTATTTGGTAATAATTTTTTGTATTTTTTGGGTGAGAAAAGAAAAAATTTTTAAAATTTTAATTTTTTCAAAAATCAAACATATACTTTCTCTTTTTTTTAGCAATTTAAATTATTATAAAAAGTAAACTTTTCAATATTACTAAACAAGATTTATCCTACTGTTCAATTATTTGAATTTAAATTTTGATCGATTCTGGAGAATATCTCTTTATTCATCTTAAAATTTCGACTAATTTAAATCTTGATTGATTCCGGAATATTTCTTTATTCATTTTAAAATTTCAATTAGTTTAAATCTTGATCGATTCTGGAATATCTCTTTGCTCATTTTAGAATTTGATTCCAGAATATCTATCTATCTATCTCTTCCTCAAAAACTTATCTTCTTTTTAGGATGATTATTTATCGATTGTTTTTCATACTTATTATGCGGTAAAAATTTTTTTAACTTTTCTTTTTTCATAGAATTGAGAATTTTTATAAAGAATACTATTATAGGTATATATTATATCAATGCATAATGTTAGTCTCATCAATTCTTGGCCCAGGGACAATTTTCTTGATGGTTGTTGGTGCATTATCGATATCATTTAATATTGATACATCATTATCACTGTTCATTGTCACTTTACCAGTTGTATCATTTTGTTTGATGTGTTTCATAAGTGATTCGGAAAAACAGGTACAATTATCAGTTATCAGTTATCAGTTATCAATTATCTTTTATTTAAATTAATCAACGAAATTATTTAGATTCCTATGTCCAATAAGACAAAAATGGACCTTTTAATCGTGATTTTTTAAAATTAAAATAATCAAAAAAGATTGAAAGTTATTTAATGATAAGGTATTTTAGTAAATTTCAGAATTTACTAATAGATAAAATCAAAGCTATTCGTTGAAAATTTTTTGGATTTTTTTTGAATTTGAAAAAATTAAAAATTAAAGATGAATTACATCCAAGACTTCTTACAAAAATTAGTCTAATTAATCTAACAATTTAATTCATATGTTTGTTTGCTTAATTATGCTAAATTCGTTTCATTTTTTTTTTTTTTCAGCTAATGGCAGCACAAATTATCGGTGCACTATTTGCTATGCTAATGACAGCTGTGATTGTTGGGACAGTAATACAGATGCAAAAAGATGGCATCATGTCACCACATTCAATATTCCTACTCTTCGTTATTGCAAGGTATTTTAATTTTATTTAATTTTAAATTTCATTTAAAACTTGAAATAAATTGTTTAATTGAATTAGTTTTGTTTAATTAATAAGTTATTTAATTGGAAGAAATCATGGGAATTCTTCACAGGAAATTATTTCGCCATTTTAAGTTTTGTCATCGCTGCTATACTACATCCATTGGAATTTACCTGTATAACACCGGGAATTTTATATTTCCTTGCAATACCATGCATGTATATGTTGCTTCCGATCTATAGCTTATGCAATTTAAATAATATTGCTTGGGGAACACGTGAGAATCCAAAAGGTTAAAATTAAAATTTTAAATTCCAATTATAAAATGTAATTTCGTCAAGAAAACTATTTCCTAATTACATCAATAATTAAATTCTCATACAAAATAGATTGAAATAAGTTTAAAAAAAAGAAAAAA